TTAAAATACTAGCTTTAGCCAGCATCACTCATGTCGTCAGAATAAAAAGAAGTCTTTGTGTCAGTCCAACTTTCAGATCAAAAAAGGCTCAACCTGTTTTAAACCACATCGAAGCTGTGGCTGACTAGATTTTCCCAGAAAGATAAAGGACATGTAATTATTCAGTAAAAGAGAAGGCCATTTCAAACTTAAATGGAAAATTAATGTGATCTGAGTCTTTTTTATGAATTAAAATGTTTTATGGAATAGTAAATGAGCAAACGGATCACCTGATGGTACGCAATCGGCATCACTCTTGGATACCCGGAACACCAGAGGCGTTACATGTGCGTTATGCGGTTTGAGGATTAGAAATTGGAGGATTGTTAGGGATTCAGGGATTTGGTAGATTGGGGGGTGGGGACAATTGTGCTCCATGCCTCCTAAAGATATGCAAACGGTACGTATAGTGTAAATCTTTTTTCTAACGCATTCACCCCCTGAACGTAGATAATTAGTTAGCCATTAAATTGTTCCTGAAAGCCATGAAAAAAAACATCTCAAAGGACTGAGGGAGAGATTGACCTTTTGATAGAATTTAATACAATTATCATCAAATTCTGAATAGAAACAGATTTTGTTCCTGGTTATCCTTTTGCGTGGGTACGAAACGCCCTATCCATCAAAATTAGTGTTGTTTAAGGTCACTAGATACTAAAATATTGACATTTTAGTATCTAGTGGTAGTCTAAAATATTGGCATATTGACTGCAATTTAAAGTGGCATGCTCAAATCACAAATGTATGCAGGGGGGTTACTGGATCATTGCGTGCTCTGTATCGCGTAAAAAATTTGCTTCCTCCCGCTACGAAGGCCATGTTGGTGCAAGCCTTGGTTTTCCCTATCATCGATTATGCTGATGTCTGCTACTACGACCTGAATGCAGATCTCCTCAATAAGCTCGACCGACTTCTAAATAACTGCATCCGATTCGTTTTCAACCTGCGTAAATACGATCATGTTTCTGCTCATCGGTTGCAACTAAAGTGGCTGCCCATACGCCAGCGCAGGGAGCAAAGGGCGCTAACCACTCTATTCTCCTTTCTTTCTTCACCTTCTTCACCCAGTTATCTATCCCCTTACTTTCAATACTTATGCGCAAACCACAGTAAAAATCTTCGTTCTTCTCACAACCGTCTTCTCCAATGTCCCACTCATCGCACTGACTTCTTACATTCATCCTTTTTCGTACAGGCAATTTTTCTGTGGAATGCGCTCCCCCTGGATGTCAGGATGGTCTCAACTCGACTAACTTTTAAGCAGAAAGTACGTGAGCTTTTCCTAAAGAGGTTGGCTGAATCATCGCGCTAACTATCCACTGTATACTAGTAAGCAAGTATATATTTATATATTATGTATATATGTATGTATGTATGTAGGCATATTGTACTCATGTGTAGGTATACATTATAATTAAATTTATTTATGTATGTATATCTCCGAAATATATTAGTTTATCTTTCATTGTTAAATAAAATCACTGCTTGCCTCTTGCACCTACCATTTACTCTTCTCTGCATCACCCAAAGGTCAGACTGGTAGAAAATGCCTGCGGCATTAAGTCCACCTTTTTGTACATTTTGTGCATGAAGCATTTTAAATAAATAAATAAATAAATAAAATAACCTTTTCTCATAGTTAAATTACCAGTCGTTTTAAGGGACCACCATCTTCCCAAAAACTCAAATATAATTTACACCTAAATATATCCAGATTAAGGTTGAAAATAGAGTTGAAATGAACGTAGGCAGAAATTGTAATTCAGCAAAAGTATTAAGAAAAAAGAATACAAGTATTTTTGTCTCAAATGCGACGACTAATAATAGATATGTTTTAGATACAGAAAGGCTTCAGGCTCTTGTTTACATTAGCAGAAACTAAAATCAAGATTGAACTAGATTATAATTAGCCTCTAATCTTTTTTTAAATATGACTTACTAAAAATAGCACGAACAATGTTCTTTCTTTGCTATAGCATTATTTACTTTAAACGCAACCATAGAATAATAACCATAATTAAAAAAGTGTACAAGTGAATATAGATTTTCTTACACAGATAATACGAATAGTTTTGGCGATAAGATTCCCATTTCGAGCCTTAGTTGAAAGACATTGTTCCCATTGAAACTTTTATACAAATTACAATTTTACTATAGTGGCACCCGTTATGATAGAAACTACATAGGTATTTAAGTAATGCAATTCCATATTGAAATGTTGGGGCTCTTTCCTCATAAATATAGTAAAGTAAGAAGCCAGAAAAACATTAGCACATGTTTTTGATCGTGAATCGTACGAGATACGTAGATAATACTGACCTTTATTCGAGTCATTAGACAGTTGTTCATGCCTGAACATAAGATGTAGTACAAATAAGATTGTTATCACCTGGCCGTATCTCTAGCTTGCCGTCAGTAAATATGTATTGTAGGATTTTATTGTTGGAATTCTTACCTGCTTTATATTATTCACGACATAAATATCTCTTTGATGCAATGATCCTAAGTTAACAATTTCTTCAAACATTTCATTGAGTATTCTGTTTTATTGCGCAGTAAACTGGTATAGTTCTATTTATTTGCATTTTTCTACATGATTTATTATTTAGTTTTCTTTTACTAGTGCATCTACAGAGTAGAAGATATCGACATTCGATCCTCAATAGAGTCAACTGTAGGTACGTTTTGTGTTTCGTTTTTGTTTTTGAAGTTCTTGCTACCAAATTATGTTTTTCTTAAGTTGTAAAACGTTATGCAAAAGACTACGTCATGTAATACATGTGCCGTCGCAACGAATGTTTATCTCGAAACCTCAGGAACCATAAACCGAGAAAATGAAGAAAAAATGCCCGCCCTGTTTCTAACACGTAGACAAGGTCTAATAAAAGTAATACCCGAAACTTCAGCCCTAAGAGAGTCATATGTCGAGGTGAAAGTTTATGGAAACAAAAATGAAAGTTTAAGTCGCAAGTAACAACCCTGCTGTAGGATATAAAAAGGAAATCCCAGGCAGTGATTTAAAGCAGCAATATGAGGGACCGATGTGATCTGATAAAGTCCGTTCTGTACATCATCTTTGAGCTCGTGATAGTGATTGATCCACGTTGAACTGAGAGCTTATTGCGAACAAAAATACCTTATCCTGTGTCCATCCATGTTTTATTAAAACGTGGTGGTTACTAAAGCATGGCCATCATCACTCACTTTCAGCTTCAGACAGCGAAAACGCATTAATCTTGAGAGATAATCAATTGTCTCCATGGTACAAAAGCGGAACAGATTTTTAAGGTAAAGCTTGTTATGCGCACATAGTCATGATGACCCATATATCCTAACATGGGCAGCTATTGAGAGGTTCCAATCTCTCTTGTTCAATATGCGCTTAACGTTCTGTTACGGAATGCTTTTGTAGATGGTCTTAATCTTATCCTCTCTTGCCATACCGATGTGAACCTTTCGTGTTACTCGTTAACTCGTAAGTGAACATACTTCAATATTACTCACGCGTTGAAACCTAGACTTAAATTGTTTTAATATTGTATGAGGGCATTATTGAGAACAGCTAGTATATATAACTTTGTTGTTATATACTTCATTTTCAATAGTTGGTGTAGTAAATAAGTGATTAATATTGATATTGTTACCAAAATTAAGATACTTTTTCATTTATTTTGCAAGATTTAAAACAAACATTGTTGTAGCACTTGTTTATAGAACATATATCCAATTTGACTTGACGTTTCCTAGATTCCTAAGGGTACATGGTGTTCATCAAACCTCATAAATTGGATTATGTCAAGGAAGGAGGCTATTCATTAAGGCCAGTAGTCGAACGTTGAACGTCTGTGGTATGGGAACGCTAAGCTAGCTAGACATTGTATCTATTATATGTATTAGCACTTTGAAAATTGTATTAGATCTGACATTTAACATAGAGCGAAAGACAATTGGTTCTTTCAATACTTAGTATCTTAATACACTCCATTGTTATGCATATCATAGGAAGTACCTAGATACAATATGGACTCGGCAGAATAAGACAACCGGTAACACAGATAAGACATTAAAATTATCTAACGAATCTTTGCAAGTTAACGTCGACTCCTTGTATATTTTTCACACGTCCGGGATTTTGTAGAAAATGGAAACATGCAGAAAAAATAATAAAACCATAGACATAAGAAACATAAACATTTACATGGCTAGACACATTCTTATACATTATAAATTGAGTTAAATATTTTATAGCTTCCGATGGATAAATGACAGGTACATTTATAATATTTCGACCCCTTGCAGCATCGAACTATTGTTAGTAAACTTACATATTTACAATATTTAAGTACCGCAGTCGTACATCCTAAGTTATTATTGATTAGTATGCTTTAATGTTTAAATTGTTAAATTGATTGTTGTTATTATATTTGTGAAAACCAAGATTTGAAGAGAAATGTCCAGGATTTCATAATAAAGTTTTGACAACTTTTGACTGCACTTTTAAAACGTATTCGTCGAATGATAGTTTTGCGAAATGCAACAAAAAGAAACCGTGAAGTCTATGTACGTATGTATATTTGCACAATCCCTCAAAGCAAGAACAGTTAATTGTTAGGTACTGTCTGAATACAAAGCCCTAGCAATGATTCTACGTATCATTTTGGTTTCTCGTTAGTGTTAATTAACTGTCACAGTTCATTATATCATTCCTTTGATTCCTTAGAATTGCAACAATGATTGAAGCCTGTAGAACGGTGTTGTCATTTCAATTTAATTAGTGCATCTATTTTAATATTACGTGGTTTATAGCATCGTGCCTATTTTTGTAATTCGCATTAGCGAATTGTGCTTCATTCGTATAAGCCCCTATACATGGCTCGAAACTAGTAGAGTTACTTTGTCAAATAATTACTTGATGATGTGTAAATTGTAAAACATAATTAATTGTATTTACTTTGTTACAGTACAACGAATTCCTCACAAGATGACGATGCGGACTGGGCAAGGAATAGTTCCATTGATGAGTTCAATGTTCACAATGGAACCAATGACACAATCGGTATGTACTACCTATAAATATTTTATAAGGCGAGGATTAAGTATACCTATATATTAGAGAACTTATGAATGTTAAATCAAGCCATATTGCAACTCATTTGCAAGAATGACTACTTTATTATTTTCGAATAGACCAAAAATAAAACTTTTGGAAATTTAGGATAAGTATGTTTCTTAGTATGAGATTTTTTAGTTATATAGATTTGTTAAACAGTTGAAAAATTATTCAGTGATTAGTTACTGTCCACACTAATCTTATCCTCATTTAGATAACACTAATGAAAGTCAATGCGATTTAAAAAAACTGTTGAGGATAAGAGCACCTACGTACGTTTCGTAGGTAATAGTTTTTTCTCGTTCATCGCAGCTATAAATTACGTCGACGCCGGAGATAAATCAGGCGCAAACCGTCCCATATTGACTGCCGATTGAATCTCTACTTATTTCGTAACGGATGGATGATACTGTGTTATCGATGTACCCATTCCTTTCAATAGTCACTGACTGAGAGGTTAGTTTAGAGAATAAATTCCGACAAGTTCCCTTTATAATGTTGTATATTAAATTCCTATCAAATACCACTCCAAGAATCTCTCTTATTTGTTATTGTAGCCTAAACTTTATCAGTTAATGAAATACATTTCGTTGGTCTTTCCAAATATTTTAACGATTCTTCTAGGAAAGTACTTAGGGAATTTAATTCAATTATAAATTATGTTATAATTATCCGATTCAATATCAGCTTTGATGTTACTAGACATCAAAGAACAAATAAATTTAAACATTCCTACGATCTCTATTTACTGTCTTTCTAACAAAATTAAAAGGGGCTTGGATGTTTTCAAAGTGACTATTTAGTAGGTATTTATAGAACCTGCTAAAATCTATGTCTCAAACTATCAATGTCTGAACAATTTAGTTTTGTAGATACAACGTACGAATCTACTATCTATCCCTCTGATGGCTGATGGTTGGATTCTAATACTTGTTTCTCTTGTTTCAGAAACATTGTACGATGTGCCGACCGGTATGATAGTGCTGCTCTCGTTTCTGTACGGCTCGATATCGGTGCTGGCAGTGGTCGGCAACTTCCTAGTGATGTGGGTCGTTGCCACTTCGAGAAGAATGCAGAGCGTCACAAACTGCTACATTGCAAATCTAGCCTTAGCTGACATAGTCATAGGATTATTCGCTGTACCATTTCAAGTAAGTATGTTTGTTTTACCACTTTTATGTAAAAACATTGGTATAGATATAAGAACCGAGCTACATGGTGTTGGTTTCTTAACTGCTTACTTGTCTAGGTCTGTATACGTCAACTCATCTGAACAGAAATCAACAGAATCCATCGTATTTTCTACTAGATGAAAATAGGGTGGATCCTGTAATCGAATGAATCCAGATAAGTGGACAAACTGGATAAAGTGATAACAATTTTATGTAAAGTTCTAACGTACTTAAAGACTTGGCAGACATATTTGTATATTATTTGTAAACCTGACAAAAATGCATTATAAGATTCACAAGATAAATATGCAAAAATATTTGCTTTACGCTCTTAGGTTAATGCAGCGTCTACACATGTAGCCACAACGCGATCCGAGCCATCAACAGAACTCGTGACTGGTCGCTAATTTGTATGATACTCCTAGCAAATATGGCTATAGAAAATGGTTACAGTAAATATGTGATTTCTACTTACTGCTTATCAGATTAAGTACATATACATAATAGGAAATAAGTCTTTGTTTATGAGACCGATGTTTTAAGTATAAGAGATGAATAAAGTATAATGGGTAGTACGTCATGGGGCTCTAAGATTTTATTGCTTGACAGTAGATAAACCTTTTTTATAAAGAGGGTACTGTGTAGCTCCAACTTTGCCTATCTCTTCAGAAAATAATGCTTGATTCTATTGTGAGAAACTCTTTAGAATCAATTTTATTATTGTCTTCTAATATTGTTGAAAAGATTATTATTTAATTAATCGTAAAACATGTCTTTGAAGTAGAAATTGCTTTAACGAATCTGTCGGTTCTTTGAAACGTGTTATTTGAATTAATTAAAACAATGGATGTTGACCACAGTACACATAAACTGCGGTCTTCCACCCAGCCACGCTTTGAAATTGAATAATACTTCCGTGAAATCGTAAAATAAAACCACTTCTAAGAATTCCTATGTATATTGTTGTGAAGACATATTGTTTAAGCAATTATTTTTTAGAATTAGAACTTTCATAAAAGACGAAAATCAGATTTTAAGTAGATTTTTTGAGTACATAGGATAGGTTTGTATTAAAAATTTTATTAAGATTGAAGTTTTTAACGTTTGGTATGAAACATAATTATTATTAGGCACTAATATTTCAAATTAGGTTAGGAAAAGTAGCTGAACGATACGAATAGGGTCTGTAATAATGTAAAATATGTGTTTTTTTTTATTGTATTAAAATATTACTCAGACTATTCATACAATGTTTATTTTCATTAAAAATGGTATGTACAAAGATAATTAGGTAACCATTGTTGAGTATATAGATACAAAGTTTCCAGCATTATTCCATTGACGCAGGCAGTTTCACAATCTCACCGCTTCAGTGTACATACATAAAAGTACACGATAAAACAATTTAATACTTAGCGAATAAAAGATAAACTCTGAATTAACAGATCTGTTAACTTTGTTTTGTTACCAACGTTGGCGTCGCCTGCCTTTTTTCCTACAACAAAGACAAAGTCAAATTTAAATGTATAAAACTTCTATTGTAAGCCGACTATGTTTTATATGTATCTTAAGTGATAAATTCATGTATTTACTTACGGTCTATAAGCATGATCTGATTATATGTACATGACATTTAATTTATGGTCACAAAACCCTTACATTGTCTTCAAATATTTCGGTTATATAGAAAAAATGCTTTGAAAGAAAATTTTCAATACAATAAATTTGGTTCCTGTCAAATATTTTATGGATAAAAAGTGATGCTTTGTCTGAATGTATTTAACCCGATCGAGTCTTCATTGTCCATTAAGCCAAAGTCATTAAATCCTATATTGAATGGGAAGGCAGATTGATTAATTGTACACAAATGTTCCACAAACCTTTATAGGCAATTATTCATTGGATTGAAATGAAAAGTATTGTGGAGGGAAAATGTTCAGAACGTTCATCATGACGAATTTTCGATTGCCCCTTCCATGTTTACATTATAATGGAAAAATGATTGCTATAAAATTGTTAAATCAGGGTTTTAGATTTTAATGGTACCTATGTATAATTATGTATCAATGATACTTCTAACTTTTTTATATTCCATTGGCCGACATTTGACCATTATCCTGCCTGGTTGAGTGATGATGCGTTCTACGATGGAGCGTATCGTCCCAATTTATTCTCTCGGGCCTTGAAGACACCCAGCTTATACCCTTCAGGAAACACAGACTCTGGCAAAGAATTCCTTAGCAGATAATAATTTTAATGATAATAATTTGTGTATATGATACTCGAATATAGGCATTACCTATACAGTGCAGCTTTTAAGCCTACATTCACCGAAAAAAAGAAACGATATAGCTCTGCGATAAAAAAATGAAATTTTAAGTAATCGTGCTACCTACTTGAGCAACGAAGTAGAATATGATGTCTACAAATAGAATCTGTTTATATAATCCCTGGCCGAGTCTGTACACAAAATTCTATTGTAATGCTAGTATCAAAGAACTTATCTTTTAAGAACACATTCTGGCGTGAAAAATACTCGAAAAGGCGATCGTTTATTTTGACTTTTTTCTGCGTCAAATAAAATAGGAATAGATTTGAATTGATATTTTTATCAGAGCTCTATTTTTCCACACATCTAGGTCTGAGGTAGACGTATACAGTTTCAAAGATGGTTTTTTTTTCGGTATTTTGATATTCATCGTACCTATTGTAGAAAAAGGAAGAATTTCTGATCTATTCGAATCGATCCTGGATTACATAAATTGGCGATAAACTAAATCTTAGATTGATTTCTCATGGTTGTATGCACGGCTTCTTTTCACAAATACGTATTTGATTTTATGTATAGTTTTGATGGTGTTTTTACAACAGCATATTTCAGATCAACACTAGTTTTTGTTTGGAAATATTCACAATGCATTATCCTTTCAACATTATTTAGCTACAGTGATGAGTTTCATGTGATTCTTTGTGTTTAACTTGGTGTTTGCGCAAATTTCGATAACTATATAAAGTTACAGAAACCTGTACCTTAAAGGAACTTTAACTTTAAAGGAAGGGTTCGTTTATAAACGTTTAATTAATTAAAAGTTCTGATTTGTAATTTAGTACTAAAAATCAAGGGCACAACACCTAAACTATCGTATTGAGCCATTGTACAACGAAAACAAGGTTTCTCTATTATCCTGAACCTAGTCACTTTACAAAACCCTTTGTAGTTAAGTACTTTACCTACTTAGGAATGTCATTAGAGTAGTTTAGCTTAACAGAACATAAAAGGCGGCCTCCTTTCCTACGACACGACGTACAACCGCGTTTGATGTGCCAAGTCTCACGCACACAATGAGCTTAGGTACTCACTTAGGTAACACCTAATACTAAAATACTTTCCTGGTTATTTAAAACTTGTCTAGTATCCAAGCATATCAATCTTGGTTTTGATCCCGGCTTTAGCCAAAAGTTTGTAAAATGTTAGCACTGTCGTCCCACACGCTACGAGACTCTTTGTTAATTAGTGAATTTTTACTCACCCACTCAATGTAATCATTGTATTACAATGGCCAGCACATCATCCTACTCCAATGTGTTAATTTTTATTATTGGATTTTTGACTTTATAACTAAACGTTACAGTTGAAATTGCACTAAAGAAAATTGGAAAAAAGAACTCTTTTTTGACTAATTTTCTTTTCTTACTCCCCTTACTCCTCTCTTAACTTACTCAGGTTGACCTGCTACCCACTATACCACAAAAATAACGAAATTAAAGTGACGAAGTAGTTCTATCCCCATAACCTGCGGGCCTGCAGACGGCGAGCCTGGGTCCCCGTCCGACCAGAAACAGACCCGAGCGTATGACGCTGATGGCTCTTTGAGGCGCGTCGCGTTCTGCGCGCGCCTCAAAGAGCCATCAGACCACCACAGATGGGGCCCAACAGGCCCGATGCCGATTCGGAGTCGCGGAGAACCTAACGGGTAACCGGAGCTCCGGCTCGACGTGCAGGAGCAGGAACGGGGTGGTTTTTAGTCAGTAAGAGTCTGACACTCCCTCCCGCCTCTGTAAGTAGTCTGGCTGCATCGAATTACTGCTCCCGCTTACCCAGGCAGATTTACCCCCTTAAAAAAAAAATCCCGTAACCTCATTTAAGTATTAGGGCTAGTAATGTAATAAAGATCGTAAAATGTTGGTGAATTGTGGCAATAAACACATATTGCGACCTGCTACTCTCAAGTTAGACAAACCTTCCAAGCAAAGTGTTCATTAGTTAATTTTCGGTACAAAACTTCAATGAAGTTCCGAAATATTAATAATTATCTACCAACTTTCAAGGGAAGCAAACAGCGTAGAAGTGTTCTCTTATAAAGTGTTTCAATTTCAACGAAAAGGAATTAATGAACTTAAAAATACTTTTCCTTCCGGAAAAACTTTGCACTAAGTTCAACAACGGTTCAAAAATATTCATAAACGAACTATCTTTTACCGAAGACTTCACTTGAATTAACATATATTTGGCCCATTTATTAAACATACATATATATCACCAAAATGTGAAGAGAGTAAAAAGAAGATCATGATCTTATAGGTTCCACCAGTTATCTAGATAAGTCTAATTTTAAACTGTGGAAAAATTGCGATACAAACACTATACACTATCATTTTAATTGGAAACCAGTTTTAGTCACATTTATCAAACAAAGATACTCACGCCTGTCAGAACGCGATAACTAAAAAAAGCTGTTCAATGGTTTTATATACGGCTAGTATCAATAGAAAGCAAATTCAGAAGGAATACAAGTTAAAATTAAAATATTTGCGTAAGCCGTGGATTATATAATTGTCATTCATCATCACATAAAATACTTTATTTGTTACAATTCAAGGATATGGAACTTTATCATATAAGGAATAGAATACAATATGAGATCACGCACTGAATGCGTATTTTTTATTAAAATGAAAGCATAAAGGTGAATTTGTGA